GTTACCCTGGAACAGTCTCCTGGGAAGCTGGGCTGGGGGGCTGGTGTCTATGAGGTACAGCAGGCATTTGCCCAGAGAGAAACAGAGAAACTCACTCTTTTCTCTCTCAAAGACACACAGGCCCATTGGAAAGCTGTGCATGGCAATTACCCGTTCCTTACTAACACTGCCATAGAAACATCCTCCCATTAGTTAAAATGAACCTAAACATATGGGATGTTCCTGGGACATCAGCAACCATGAGGGAGGCGGGCTAGGGACTGAAAAGAAAAAAAAAAAAAAACAAAAAAAACGCACTGTGCAGCAAACCAGGTGATCTGCCGGGCACACAGGCATGGCTCATTACTACTGTTAGTTCCATTTCACAGAGGAAAAAACTGAAGCTGAAATTTTCACTGCTAGTAAATGACAGAGCCCACAATCAAACCCATGTCTTCTGATTCCAAATCCCGGGCAATTTCCATAGCATCCTTTGCTGCCCGAGGGCATGGAATTAGGGCCTCGATGGAGGTAGTGCCTTCCCCCCAAAAATAGTTTCTGGGACCCTGGGACCTCTGGGTCAGGCTGGAAGCAGGGGTCTGGGTGGGGTCAGTTCATGTGGTGAGGTGACCACAGGTAAGGCAGACCCCAGACTCTAAAAACACTGATTGTTTGCCACATTTAACAGGCCAAGACCCAGAGAACCAGCCTCTTAGGACAAGCTACAATTTCGTTTAAGGAGCTATAACTTCTGAGCTGTTACCTGGGTGCTCTATTTGTGGAAAGTCAGGAGCACACGAAGATTTTTTGTTTTTCAGATTGTTGATGGCATTCAGGGGATTGCTAATATCCTTTTATTGGTCCGTTGCTACAATTGCCTCTGCCCAGATAAGAAAGATTTCAGCGAAAGCGTTTCTTAATTAAATATTGCCTCACACCAGATTACCACTCCGAAGGTGGCAGTGGGTTCCATTAAAGGGTGAACTTCACTCCCACAGTCAACAGCTGATTAATGTGTTAATTAGGAACCCCGACCCCCTCCCCAGTCATCCGCATCTTCTCTTAAGCCCAGTAGAATGTGTATATTATGCCCATGTGGGTAACCTCATGGCATACTTCGGCTTTGACTTTGGACGTTTATGCAAAAATAAAGGCTCAGTTGCCAACATGAATAGCTTGCTTTCTTTCCAGGAGAAATACAAGATGGAAAGAGTTATAGGAACCAGAAGTCCCGCCTTCCAGTTCTCTTCTATCAAGAGCAAGTGATATTTCTGCTGAGGCAGTGTCTTTTGAGTAGTTTAGCGGGTGTAGGTTGCCACACATTTATATCACAGGAAAGGAGTGAGTCCATCAGGCCACTGAGCTTATAAGTACAAACCTGGCAGCCAGCCACCAAAGTAGAAATACTAAATGGACTAAAGGAAATGTTCATTCTGTTGTTTAGAATTGGACACATCCCAAGAAGGTAAATTCAATCTTTTTGAGGACTGCCGTTAGAGGGTTGAATGGAATACGCATTTGTTTATCTCCTTTGTGATCTTTTTGTCTTCCTGGTGATGCATTATGTATTTGTGATACGAAGCATTTCAGCTGTCCTGCTCAATGGCATTGCATGCCGATTTTTCAGCACCCAGATTGCCATCGTTAAGCGGCTCCGGCTTCAGCTCTGTCCAATCTGGGACCTGTTAGGGAGAGAAGTGGAACCAAAGAGGCCAGATTCCAACAGAAACAAAGCTGGGGTGGAATTAGGGGGAACTCGTTCCAGAGCCCAGTGAGTTGAGCTCTGTACTTCTTAATCTTTATCTTTTAAAATATCTGAAGGAATTCTGGTACTTCTTGGCATATTAAGAAAAAAAAAAAATTAAAGCCGCCTGTGGAAAAAGGAAGATTACCCCCATAACAGGCAATTCAGAAAACCATAGTTTATGAGACACATGCTGTGTATTTCATGGATATGAAAATGTTGTTTTATTAAAGAGGGAGATCTATAGTATGTATTTACACCTAACTATCACATCTTAAGTAATCAGCTCAGGCTCCTATGATGAAATCTTTAATTACCAGAAGTGTGTCATTAGTTAGATGTGGAATGAATGATGGTACCATGTTTTATTGCCTCACATGATTTAGCCATTTGTGCCATAAATTCATTGACCTCATCTTAAATGATGTCTCCTGTAAGACAGACTTGATTCATTATTTCTTAAGTGACGGGTTTTTTCTCTCTAATAATTTTTTGCTTCATCAGAAAGATTGCTTTTCTGTGTTTTTAGGGCAGTGTTCTGAACTGAAATATAATAAGGCAAGAACATACACACATCCACACTCACATTACCCAAAACGAGGCAGTCACAAACTTTCACACTATTACCTAAACGCTTTAGAATGTTGCAGAGAATGAAGCTGTAAACATTAGGCCTTTGCTTTAACCGGAAAGTTTGATGCAATAGAATTCTGCTTTAAAACTTTGATGTCTGAAATTCTTTTTATGTGGAAATAGATAAAATGTGGTGGAGAATTCTCATTTGATAATTGGGGTGGATCTGTGAGCATTCCTTATTCATCACTGAATTATTAAAAGTGAAGGAAGTGAAGGAAGGGAGAACATTTAAGTTATATTTAGATTATTTTTTGTGACTCCACTTGAAAATATTTATTTAGCTTGAGGAAACAGAGGAATCCTCTGGAGGCAAATAATTCAATCTGGCAATTTAAAAACCAATTAAGGATTTCAGAAAACTCTTTCCCCTTATGGTTAAAAAATAAGATCCAAAAGAAATATGCCAAAAAATTTGGCATATTATCTTAATTAGTTTAATTCATTGATAATATTTTTTAAGTTCATGATTAAAGAAGCTATATTTGATCTTTTCCTTCAAGCTTACAAATTTACATTTTAGGCTTTCTATGGGTTCTAATACTGTAACAATCCGGTGGCTTTATTTCGTATAGGGATTTAAATGTCACATCATTACATATTAACTTTGTAAAAATGATCAGGTTTTTAAAATAATAACTTACTTGCCTCAAGGTTTAACTACTAGTTTATTTAACCATTATCTAGATAAGAATTTTCAAGGTCTGCTGGGTTTTGTGTGATTCTTTTCATCAGAGGCAATTCTGCACTCACCTGTAAACTTGCAGATTTCTCACCTATGATTTAAAAAAAGATTCCTATAATTCTAGAGAAACCTGAAAATACTGTACTGAAATGCAGAAGTATATTAGTATTGAAATTATTCTTCTTACAACAAGGATTTTTGAAAGGGTAATTTGATATGAGACTACACAGAAAACGAATGTGTGCCATTAAGTGTCTGTTACTCAGTCTCACGCCTTACAGTATATTACCTGCAAATATCAGTGGGGAAAAAAAATGAGAAGGAAGAGAGTGGATTTACACATACAGACCCACATCTGCCACAAGTGCGTACACCCCCAGTCACATACGAGCATGCCACCACTGTTTACAGTCAAGGAAAGCTGAGAGTTAAATGAGATAAGTAATCAAATGCCCAGCATATGTTGTTTTTGCATTGTTGATGCGACCAATTGTGATTAAAAGTTATCATCTTTTAATGCTATCCGTTTACCATGGTTAAAAAAAAAAAAAGGCAACAACACTACACCAACAACAAAACAACAGGCACCCTCCTCAGCAAAAACAAGTTTCCATTTAGAGCAATATTGGAAACAATGCTTCATGGATGAGAGCCTTGAATTCAGTGAACTCACCATTGCACAGCATTTCCGAATTCTTCCTCCACTGCTGTATGGCTTGATTGCTAAGAATATGATTTTAAAAAGAAAGAAAGAAATTTAGATAGAAAAAGAAAAAAAGAAAAAGAAAAAAAAAATGTGTGTGTAATTTCCAGTCAAAAAAGTAAGGCACTGAAAGAACTACTGAAAATTTTGACATCTGTTTATCTGTTTATAGCTATGGCAAGATTACTCATATTAATTCTTGTTTAAAATGCCATATGAAGGAAAGACATTTGTGCAAACAAGAGTCATATTTGAATTGTAGATCATGTCTTCACCATCTGTGAGAGCTGATGGTGTTGCAAAATTAATGTGTTAATGAAATCACAATAATTTCTCCAAAGTAATGGGTTCTGAAGCCGAGAATGACTATTTTTTGAACTTTGATGTCTAGTGATTTCCAATTGGGAAAAGCTCTCAGCCTTTAATTAGTTCTGCAGCCCAACTTTAAAATAAATTTGGTGATATCTTTCTTTTGCCAGGAGTAGATTTGAAGGGGAGGGGAGGAAGCCATAACAACTTTTGGAAAACGTTCTCTGGTGTTTGAAAAGTTGTTAAATAAGACTGCCTGCCAAGAAATGTCACCAAAAATTCTGACTACTGAGAGCGAGTGGGCAAACAGCTCAAAAAATAATTCTAGCTTGCTGCAACATCACAGGTTGGGAATAGCTAAACCTCACACAGACTTCATGACTAATTCCAAGTTTCCCTTTGGAAGCCAGACATAATGATGTTCCGCGCTTTGTGTTATTGGTTAACACAGCACAACCTTTCCAACTGCATTATTGAACACAGTCAATAGTGTAAAGTACTTTGCGTGAGGAGAATTTTATGGGGCTCTGTTTCAAAGGCCGCCAAACTTCTGGAGAATCCTCTTCTCCACAACCATTCACATTTACATTTCCAACGAGCCTCCTGGACAGGTGAAAATATGTGGGCAGGGGGATGTACGCCTTTCTGTCAGACCCCCCTTTACGTTGAGCGTCACGGGCACAACATGGTTTGGAGTTGTTGTTGAATTGTTTTTCCTGGAAAATGGTGATAATTGCTATACCCAAGAGTTACTATTTAAAAAGCACGTCTGACTTCCAAGGAGAAATCATTTGACAAACATTTAAGAATGTTACCTTTCAGAAAGAAACCCTTCCGCCTGTTCGAAAAATGGTGATAAAGTTTGAAAGAACCTCTATGTGAAACACGAAACACGATCTGCCAGAGGAAATTGCTTATCTTGTTTTCTTTTTATTGCTGTGTTGTAGGTATGTGACTGGTGTAAGCACATAAGACACACAAAAGAATACCTGGATTTTGGGGACGGGGAACGAAGGCTTCAGTTCTGCAGTGCAAAATGTCTCAATCAATACAAAATGGACATTTTCTACAAAGAGACACAGGCCAATCTTCCAGCTGGGTTGTGCGGCACACTACACCCTCCCATGGAAAATAAAGCAGAAGGCACCGGGGTGCAGCTGCTCACTCCAGACTCTTGGAATATCCCTCTAACAGATGCTCGGAGGAAGGCCCCCTCCCCGGTGGCTGCAGCTGGCCAAAGCCAGGGCCCTGGCCCATCGTCGTCCACCACCGTCTCTCCATCTGACACTGCCAACTGCTCTGTCACTAAAATCCCCACGCCAGTGCCCAAGTCCATGCCCATCAGCGAGACGCCAAACATCCCTCCTGTCTCCGTCCAGCCACCTGCTAGCATTGGGCCTCCCCTCGGTGTCCCGCCTCGCAGCCCTCCCATGGTGATGACCAACCGCGGCCCGGTGCCGCTGCCCATCTTCATGGAACAACAGATCATGCAGCAGATACGCCCGCCCTTTATTCGCGGGCCGCCGCACCACGCCTCCAACCCCAACAGCCCCCTGTCCAACCCCATGCTCCCTGGCATCGGGCCCCCACCCGGCGGCCCCAGGAACCTGGGCCCCACTTCCAGTCCCATGCACCGGCCCATGCTGTCGCCCCACATCCATCCCCCCAGCACCCCGACCATGCCTGGGAACCCCCCGGGCCTGCTGCCCCCACCGCCCCCGGGCGCGCCCTTGCCCAGTCTCCCCTTCCCGCCGGTGAGCATGATGCCAAATGGCCCGATGCCCGTGCCCCAGATGATGAATTTCGGGCTGCCATCGCTCGCCCCGCTGGTGCCGCCTCCCACCTTGCTCGTGCCATACCCCGTGATCGTGCCCCTGCCTGTGCCCATCCCCATCCCTATTCCCATCCCTCACGTCAATGATTCCAAGCCCCCCAACGGATTCTCCAGCAACGGGGAGAACTTCATTCCGAGCGCCCCTGGCGACTCTTCAGCGTCTGGAGGCAAGCCAGGCGGACACTCCCTGTCCCCCAGGGACTCCAAGCAGGGCTCGTCCAAGTCTGCGGACTCGCCGCCCGGCTGCTCCGGCCAAGCCCTGAGCCTAGCGCCCGCGCCCGCGGAGCACGGCCGGAGCGAGGTGGTGGACCTGACGCGGCGCGCAGGCACCCCCCCGGGCGCGGGCGGCCAGCTCGGCTTCCCCGGCGTGCTGCAGGGCCCGCAGGACGGCGTCATCGACCTGACCGTGGGCCACCGGGCCCGGCTGCACAACGTGATCCACCGCGCGCTGCACGCGCACGTCAAGGCGGAGCGCGAGCCGGGCGCCGCGGAGCGCAGGACCTGCGGCGGCTGCAGGGACGGCCACTGCAGCCCGCCAGCCGCCGGCGACCCGGGTCCGGGCGCCCCCGCGGGCCCCGAGGCCGCCGCGGCCTGCAACGTCATCGTGAATGGCACGCGCGGCGCCGCCGCCGCGGCAGAGGGCGCCAAGGGCGCGGAGCCGCCTCCGGAGCAGCCCCCGCCGCCGCCGCCGCCCGCGCCCCCCAAGAAGCTGCTGTCGCCCGAGGAGCCGGCCGTGAGCGAGCTGGAGTCCGTCAAGGAGAACAACTGTGCTTCCAACTGTCACCTGGACGGGGAGGCGGCCAAAAAGCTGATGGGGGAGGAAGCCCTGGCGGGGGGCGACAAGTCAGACCCGAACCTTAATAACCCCGCGGACGAGGACCACGCGTACGCTCTGCGGATGCTGCCCAAGACGGGCTGCGTGATCCAGCCTGTGCCAAAACCCGCGGAGAAGACTGCCATGGCGCCGTGCATCATCTCCTCGCCCATGCTCAGCGCCGGGCCGGAGGACCTGGAGCCTCCGCTCAAAAGGAGGTGCCTCCGAATTAGAAATCAGAATAAGTAAAAGGTTTGTATGTCCACCGGGGCTCTCCTCCGCACGAGCCCGTGCACCTCTCCCTACTCCTTACGAGGCAGACGCGCGAGAGCGCTACCGGGATGTTCGTGTTTTTACCGTGTGAGTTTTAGAGTTCACCTAGTGCGGTCACACGCTGTCACCATTTTGATCCAACATCATTCCCATTTTACAGCCGAGGAAACTTCATCACAGCAGGTAGATGCCGTGCCAGGTGACTGACTTAATGGTGAAGCCCCGTCTTGCGCCTGACTTGAAACATTATCTAGTTAACCAGACTTTTATTCCTAAGCCCATCTCTGTAATTGACCCTGTTGAAGAAGAGGGACGGTGTGGGGAGGAGGGAGAGATTCCTCGGGACCCTTAAATGTCCAGACGTGAGGTTACAGAGCTGTGGTAAAGGTGAACTGAGTCACTTCCAGGAGGTGGGTAGGCTTATTGGCACAAGGTCTCGACTCACCAAATTTTCTCAAAAACCACAGGTTCCATGTGCAAGATGAGAATACAAACTAACTTTCTTACGTGTTTATGCCAACCGAACCCTGGGCCCCTAAGCCCCATTTCCGTGGCAAAGTGTTGGAAGAGTGGTCCATAGGTCCTGTTGAGCGAGGCTCTTCCTTCCTCTTGTCCTGAAGCATTCCCTAGGGCAGGCCTCCAGCATTGCTGACCAGCTTTGCCTTCTCTCCTTTCTGGGGCTCAGTGGCTCAGCCGGTGGGTTGCTCCCTTCTAGGGACAGTGGGAGAGGTTGACAGGCGAGAGGGCTACGCTGCCGAAGCGACTGGGAGTCCATATGTCCGACCTCATGAAGGGAAGGAATCCCGCTTCATGCCCTATGAGCTATTGATAATGAGTCCAGAATGTCAGCAAGAGGAACAGGAACTAGCACGTGTAGCACTCCCACCAAAGCCAGACGTGGTCTCTTGTGAGCCTCCCACCAGGTGGCAGAATCGGTGTCATCTCCACCTTAGCAAGGAGGAAGATAAGGCATGGAGGTGTTGTCCAAATGAGAACTAGCAAGTTGGGGAACCAGTATTTAACTCTGGCCTGCCAGCCCCAGGCCCGACAGCCCCAGGCCCACCGGCCATCCAGTTGAGGCTTAGCAATAGTTTGTGGAGAGAAAAGGAAGAGAAATGAACATTTGCTGAGCACCTGGTTTGTGCACAGTTCCTTCCAGGAGCTGGGGAGAAACTAAGGTGACTATGATTCAGTGCCTGCCCTCCACTTACTCTGGTGGGGACATAAACCCGGGGAGGAAGGAAGCCTGGGTAGAAGTGGACCATATAGGAAGAATGGCTGGCTCACGTTTGCATGTACAGACCCCCTTCTAAGTGTTTTTTAGTACTATTTATTTGGATCTGGATCAATGTGATAATATTGTTGTCTTCATTTTACTGATGAGGAAACTGAGACATGGAAGTTAAGTAAGCGCCCCAAGATGACCGAGTTAGGAAGCAATCAAGATGCAAATCCAGGCTGTTTGACTCCAGAGCTGCATTTTCTTTTTCTTTTTTTTTTTTCCAAAGATTTTATTTATTTTTTTGACAGAGAGAGCGAGAGAGATATCATAAGTAGGCAGAGAGGCAGGCAGAGAGAGAGAGAGGGGGAAGCAGGCTCCCTGCTGAGCAGAGAGCCCGATGCGGGGCTCGATCCCAGGACCCTGAGACCATGACCCGAGCCGAAGGCAGAGGCCTAGCCCACTGAGCCACCCAGGCGCCCTAGAGCTGCATTTTCTTGAAACCACTGTAAGAGAATGGGCTGAATGGTCCCTTTATTGTCCTACTTGATGAAATTCTTTTATTCACCTTAGCTGTCTTGGGGAAGGTTCCTAGACAAAAACCAAACATATCTGTCAACTTTTCCAAGTGTTGAGACAGTGTTCAATTCTTTCTTTCTTTTTTGACAGTGTTCAATTCTTGTTTTTCCAGCAGCAACAACAAACCCAAATACCAGCCCGTTACTCCACAGTGGGAAATATAAATGTGGGCCAGAAGCCTGGATATGGCGTGTCCAGACCATTGTCTCCATGTTGGCATATTTACATGGGGACCTACCTAACTCACAGCCAGAGGCTTGTTTGGGAAGCATAGGGCTAGCGCCAGGGGGCTTGTTGGGCGGTTCGAGAAGGCTTTCCCAGTCACCATAGTTTGAGGTTTCCTTTTCCATTGCTGGCTTTGCCAGTAGCAGCAGAACACTAAAAATCAGCTCACCATCCTTTCTTGGTTTTATCTACAAATTCTGCTGTCCGGAGACAGATGGACTGAGCCTTCTTGTAGTCACCCTCAAATGGAAATGCCCCTTATATCTCCACCAGCATAATTTGACCTGGTTAATAAAACAGTGAGCAACAGGAAAGTGTGGGATGAAGAAGTGATGGACTTTAGAAAGCCAAAAAGCATTAGGAATTGGAATTTTAAATATATTCTGATAGCAATCATTCCTATGACGTTATGGGAGGAACTGGAGGGTGAACAATTTTACTGCCATTACTGGAGTGAGAAGTGACCAGGCCAAGAATAGTGCCACTGGTCCATGAGTAGCGAGGGGCCCAAAGAACATAAAAGCATGAGATATATGGTGGCTGTTTGGATGATATATGTTGCTGAATACAGAATCATATTAGGGTCTTGTATGAGGACCAGAGTCATTACGAAAAATATTAACCTGGCTTCAGCCAGTTTCAGAAGACGCAGTGACAAAATTGCCCATAGCCCCTTGAGATGGGAGAGTTCTTTTTATGATGGGTCCCGTAAGAAATTACAGCTTTTCTCTGAAGTCAGAGACACTCAGGCTTGGCCAGCTCCAGTAAGGTGACAAGGCAAGTGATTTAAGATGGGGAAGAACTGCCTCTCCTCCACTAAATCACATTTCCTCTTGCCCTCTGGAGTTACGTGTCACCTCGAAGTGCCGTCTCAACCCGCCATAATTCACTCACATCCTCTGACCCTTCTTGATTCTCTGTGCACATGTGGTGCTGTTTTTCTTCAGTGCCTTCAGAAACCCAGCCCATTCATATGGTGGTGGAAATTGGAAATGCATCCGTTAAATAAAGGGTGGCATGGCTTTTGTGCCCTGACAGCGAACACTGTTGGTGACGAGTTAAAGCCAAAGTGGAAAGCATTAAACCGGACTGAGTTGTGGGGGCTGAGGTGCGGCTGAGGGATTTCTCCATGTGCTTGTTGGTGACTCACACACTATTTCTCTTGGAAAGTCTGTCGGTAACTTGTCAGGGTTCTTCGTGCTTTTCCCCTGTGCCTGCCATTCTCCTACCCTATTACCGGCTTGTTTGTTTATCATCTTAAGCAGATTCAAAGCAGACTGTATCTTGGGATCAGTAATCTGGGGAGCTACAGTGTTCTCCAAAGAAGCCATCAGATTTGCTAGTTCTTGGCCAATTTGAGGTTTGGTGTTTTTTGGGTTTTGTTTTTGGGGGGCTTTGTTTTCTTTGTTTTTTTTCCATTTTGAAGTGATTCTGTTCCTGGTTACCTGACTTTATGCATTCTTCTTTGTTGATAGGATTACACATGATTTCAACGAGCAGATATTGTCTTAGATGCAGAACTAATGAGGTTTTAGTCGAAGACTTTGGAAGATTGTCATCTTCCTTTAATCTTCAACTTTCAAGGCTCCAAATACCAGTGTGGCAGCTTCTGTAGGCTGGAAAAAATATTTCTCCAAATAATAAGAAAAACAACATATAAACATTTTCCAAACTATTCTATCCACAAAGAATTCCATTTGTAAATGGAATACTCCCTTCTTTGTCTTTGCCTGGGAGCTTGGGGGATCGCTGTTTGTATTTGTACATTTTCTGAATTTCTACAGTTTACACTTGTTTATGGTACACTGGGGAGTTCAGAGTAACCATTTGCAAATGTTTGAAGATATTCAAAAGAAAATATCCCCCCTCCTCGATTTTCCAGGGAAATGACATATTCGAAGTAAAATAATCAATGGAAAAAATGTGTACCATGAGTAACCTTTTCACCCTCACTTTTTCCATCCCCCTGGAGCAACAAGTCCATACAACTTCCACCTTTGTGGCTTCCAGATTTCGTACATGTTTCTAAAATAGGAAGAAAATCTGGGACTCTTTTCCCTGGTCCCAATTCCATGCTGCTCCCTCCGCCTCAGCAGCAGGGGTCCCTCCCACTTTTTGTTTTCTCTGGGAGAGCTGGAGGAGGCAGCCCTAGTTGTGGCTTCTTGGAGTTTAATCATTAGTCTGGTTATGGAGCCACAGTCCTGAGAAGGATGATCTCAAGGTGGGGCGAGGGGTGCTGACCTCTTCAGGAAAGCCCAAAGGGTGGAGGTGATGGGTAACTCTTTGCCAGTTTAGTTTCTCCAGCTGGGAAACTTGAGAGAGTCAGCTGCCTGGGAAGTCAGATCCATACGTTAGAAGTACTCCTTTGGCTGCCTGCTATGAAGGCAAGGAAAAAGAAGAAAACCTGAGCCTGAGAAGAGGAAATTGATCCCAATGGGGTGTACTCAGACCCTCTGCCAGTCTGGAGATTCTTAATGTCCCACTACATAGGGTTATGGAATGTGTGAATTGGCCACGTAACCCCTGATGTTCAAGTTTCGGCTGTCTGTCAAGATGCAGAGGGCTGTCCAGTTCTAGGTAGGCGTAACTCACAGAGTTAAAGAGAAACCGCCAGGTCCACCTCATGGACACGTGTGAGTGGGGAGGAACTGCCAGAGCTTTCTGTGATCATTTCAGATGTGTAGAGGAGACTTTTCTAGATTGCACAGAGTCAAGGTCGGCCTTAGCCACATCTCATTCAGGGCCTCTGGCTGTTTTAACCCTTGCCACAAAGGGTGGTTTTAATGTGCAAGCATCTGGCTTTTGGATGTTATTTCAATTAGATTACGGTGCAATAAGAAAGGATGTATGTGACCAGGTATTTACTTCTTTCAGATGGAGCCATAACTCTCCGTCTTCAGCAGGGCTCAGACTAGGGTGAAGTGAGAAGGTGCTCAGTGCACAAACTCGAAAGCAC